TATGATAAAGGTAGTGATATGGAAAACTTATTCTTCTTATATAAAAAGCAGTCACTTTGTGGGTAGGCTAATGGAGTAAAGTGAGCACTGCGGAGTGAAGTGAGTAATATGAAGTGAGGAGGATGATTCAAATTGTGATCTCTACTGTACTGTAATGGCAGTACTTCGACACTGGTGTTGATATAAATCTAGAGTTGTACATGACTTCCAGCATACCTAACTCAGACTTCAACCTAAATAGGTATGCTCAATGCCTTTTCTAGAAAGGAGGAGTGGTAGCTGAGCGCGGAAAAGTGAACATCATTTCGCTTTTGAAATTTCTGACAAGAGGGAAGCCACGTCATTCCGCAACATTCCCGAGAGGAACAGATTACTTGGAAATGAACACTACTTCCACAAGAAAATAGAGAGGGAGCCGAACGAAGCGTAATCGTTCCCAACAAAAAACAGTTTTATGCTACGGCCTAGTGCTCAGAACTTGCTTCAAAAAGTCGTGCCGGGCTGTGGGTGAAGACAACAGTAGGAAACATATGTCCATTTTCAGCTTATAGCATGAAAAAACCGGAATTGGACAATGCAGAATAAAAAACTATTTAAGAATGGGCAAATCGAAGGACGGTGGGCATAATACCAACCACTATGAATCCCAATATCTTAACACTGGTAAAGTCTAATGCCCTAAATGTCACCCACACAGAAAAGAACACACCAGTGGAGCAGAAAGTTTGAAACACTCACGTATCCTCGAACTGAAGGAGCAGCAGGAGCAAGGAAAATGAAAACGATAAAATTTTGGTAGCGAAAAAGACAATGGCGGTCCTGCACGGAATTGCCTGCACTTTACTCGTCCTAGCGGTTATCTCCACGTAATAGCACGGTTTCATTTATTTCTTACTACCAATCAGATTTCTAACTCTTTTATACGTTGTAGCGGTTGCTTAAGGTTCCAGTGCACACAAATGTGCTGAACAGCCTTCGTTTTCCGTGACGGTCCAGCTCGGTAGTTAAGTATAGTCTCTAATCAGAAGCTTATGTGTTTTCAACGTTATTGCTGTTGCTGTTCACTTGCCTTTGCATATCCTGACAGAAATCCCGCCTTTTCTTCTATAAACTTCGTTTGCGACTCTTGAAATCTTTTGATTAGGTGGACGTAATCGACGAAATTCCAGGTGCTCGAGGACTCACAAATGAGTTCAGGAGAGTTGCCCTGTTATACTCTTATCCATGTCCCTACCGATGCTGATCTTCCCAATGAAGCTCAGCTGAAGGAGAAGTTTGAGAAAGGTGAGAATTAATCGAAATAATCGCACACTTATTGTGCTCTTTCGACTTGCTATTACATATGATTATAGGCAGTGACAAGGAAAAGACAGATGCTCTGAAAAAGTTGATCTACATGATACAAAATGGTGAAAAAGTTGGGCAAGGGATGCTAATGTATGTCATCAGATTTCTCCTTCCCTCTAGCGATCACACATTGAAGAAGACCTTGCTAATTTTTTGGGAAGTCGTGCCAAAGGTACATATTTATTCTTTCTACAATAGCTGCCGGCATAATAAGTTAGCTTTTAGACTAATGCTCAAGGAAAACTACTCCAAGAAATGATTCTTGTTTGCGACGCTTATA